GCAATGCGAGTGCAACAATTGAAGCGGTTTTAAAATCAACGAACGCGGCTTATTACGCACACAGACGCACACAAGCAGCCACAACCAACCCACTGGACCACCCACACTGGAACACACACGGGAACACCCACTGAAGCAACCAGGCATTGAATCATCGAATAAATAAAATAAATGTCAAATTGAAATTGACTTGCTGTGACAGAGACATTCCAAAGTCTGCAGCAGGACTCTCCAGTTGAGGACTCCGAGGTGTGATGCACAGGTCCAGGTCCAGGTCCACCCTCCAGCATATCCCGATCCAGATGGGAATGCATAAGTGCCGCAGCATCTCTCTATGGTCAGCTTTTCACACTGCGACCAATTAAAATTGGATTCGATTAGCCCTCAAGTGAAGGGCAGTCTAATTAAGTGAGCAGAGAACGAGAAGCAGCCCCAGAGAGCTCGGCAGAGTTCAGCAAACTCTCAGCATGGACACAACAAGATGAACACATTTCGAGGCAATAAGAGAGCGGTCAGACATGGGGAACATTGTAATAATAATTATGCATATTTTTGGTCTCCATTTCAAGATGAGAACCCGATTCTGCCACTTGCATATCTCAACTACTCTCACCAAGACCTATTCCATAAACCATAAGAAGTGATTAAATCTTTTTCTTATGTTATGTTAAAAATAGAATGAAGATAATTTTAACCTAAATTATTATAATCTAGAAAAAATCTAATAATTTTACAACTTTCATTTCAACAATCAAAGTTAATGCTGAGAAAAAAGAACAGAATTTCCATCTTTGAAGACTTTGATAATTGTTTCCACACCACGCTTGGAAGGAACTCAAGGAAATTGTTATTTTTGGGGCCAGGCACCGGCACCGGCACCGGCACCGGCACCGGCACCCAGACTCTCAGACTCGCAGTTTGTGCCCACTGACAGATTCGTTCAGTCGATTACAATGGACTCACCCCGGCCTATGGGAGCCGTAATCAAAGTGTCGTTTACCATAGCAGGCGACACCTGGCCAGATTAACTCCGGATAATGCCTGCAGGGTGTGTCTTGGGTCTTTCTTTGGCGTTTCTTTCTTTTCGATTTTGGCAACGCTTTAAGGCAGGGCTTTGATCCGCCCGAGAGTGCGCGGCGAGGCACTAATAAGATTTTAAAGAGCATTTATGAAACAAAAGAGGCAGGGGCAGGGACTGTACTGCACAAATCAAGTGAAAAATGGTAAATGGGGGAATAGCAGCAAGCCCACACCCTACGCTACCCTACCCACCAGACGCGTCTAATTTTATTAATGTTGCCAATTTTCAACGGGTGGCAAGGCCATCGCACAGCCAGGTAAGTGCCCCAAGGGGTGCGTGGGTGCGTGGGTGCGGGTGGGTTCCTGGTTCCTGGTTCCTGGTTGTAGCAATAAATGTGCTGCTTACGCGCGCAATTAAATATGAAATATTTAAGAGCAAGCCGACCAAAGGAGCACCAGAAAAGGAGGCCAGGAGGGCATGGAATACTCGTAGATTGGGAGGCTTGGGGTTGCTGGTACTCCTCCTTTGGTTGGCTGATTGCGTTGCAGCTAATTAATAATTTTTAGGCAATTCAGCAAAATGCCGGAGCAAGGCTGAGGCTGCTGCTGCTGGCATCTCAGGTGCGGAGCAAACTTGCGGCTCGACTTGGCTCCAGTTGAGACTTGATTAAGTTGCTTTTTAATGAAGTTCAAAGTGATTTCACTTGCAATTAATACACCTCCAGCCTCCACAGGGCCTGCCATTCGCCGGCAGTCTCCTGCGTGGACAAACAATGGGGAGAAACCCTCCCCCTCCCCGCCGGGCGCCCTCACCAATGATTGATGTGGCGGGTGTGAAAGCCCTGGGGCAAACTTCAGGGGAAACTATTTCCCGATGCTCCTCGTCGATTAGCTGACAGGCAATCCACCAGCAAAGGGCAGCACGGTTGAGGCTGAATGGAGGGGTGTTGGGTGGATAAGAGTGAGGCACAATAATTTCTCAATAAATACCATCGAAACTCATAAATTTGTAATTAAAAGAAGAGCCTAAACGTTGATTTCAACGCTTGAAATGCAGACTCAAGTAGGGGGCAACCTCCATGCCAAATGATCAGCTAGAATGTCACGCAGAATACCACCAAGTACTGTTGAATGCTTTTGTTGAATCATTTCCAATGAAAGTTAGACCCCAAGAGGCTGGTCGAAAGGCAGTCACTGACTCTTGATAGAGGGCCAAGATTGCCGGAAGATCATCTACAAAATGGAAATAGAAACGCAGCTGCCTCCCAACCCCAATCCCATTCCCAATCCCAGCTCGACACTTATCCTCAACGACAACTAATTGCAGCTGCAGCAAAATGGCCGGAGGCGTCACTGTCCGGGGGGGGGGGGGGGGGGGGGAGAGGGGGGCGGGGGGAGTGGGGGCAACCGAACCCCCCAAGAGCAAAAAAATAGCCATAAACGTGGAGGACCGACGGGGCGAGAGGGAGCA